ACTCACCTTCCTCTGTTTGTGGTGGTGGTGCTGCTTCTCCTGCGGCGGAGAGTCGCAGCGACCTCTGGAGTGACYGAAGGAGCTTCCTGCATTTTCACTGGAGCGCAGCTTCTTCTGCTGCTCAGAGCAAAAACAAGAGACTTAACAAGCTGTTTTTACAGAAGCTTCAGCTGTGAGATTAAAAACAAGACGCAGGAGTTCTGAGACGATGAGGAGGAGGAGGAGAAACGTGATGGGAGGGAGGGGGAGGAMAACAAGGAGGAAGATGATGGGAACGATGAGGTAATCGTTCAATTAAAAGTTAACTTTTACCTGTAAAAACTGATTCATTAAATTATTTATATGAAATCAAATCAACACCTGGTTTCTTCCAGGTTTGTTAAAGAAAAATCAAATATTTTCATTTTGTTACCATCTTGTTGTAGTGGTGTTTGCAGTAGCCGCAGTATTTCACGTTGTCAGCTTCTGGTCCCTCTTCCTCACAGAGCAGACCGGCCATCTGAGCACTGAGCAAACAGGTCGGAGTCAGCTTTACAAACAAACAAACAAACAAACAAACAAACAAACAACACCCCAGGGACAGTTTCATATCGACCACAAAACTGAGTCAAATTTCTGAACAAACTCAGGGACGTTCACCTGTCCTCCAGGACAAACCAAACGTTTGACGAAGACAGATGGACAACAGCTAAATTTATTTATTTTAGTGATTTTTATCTAAGAGTTTATTACTAAAACGTTGCTGGACAGCATTACAGTCCAACCATGTGTGGAGCTTTGTCTTCTCATACTTCTAGCTAGCCAATTATTAATTTTAGCTTGTTGCTAGCATTTTCATTTACATTTAGCTTTTAGTGACACTAAAAGCTAAATTCAATTTAAGTAACTAAAAGTTTCTTTTTGCTTTTAGCTAGCATTTTGTTATTTTAGCTTTTAGCTAGTGCCTTGYTTATTTTAACTAATGCACTGATTTAATAAAAAGGCTAGTATTTTGTCACCTTTAGTGTCTAGCTAACCTTTAGCTACTTTAAATTTCTTACTAGCCTTCTAATACTTTCAGCTAAACTTTTTTTTATCATTTTAGCTAGATTATTCCTGCTTTAATACTTTTTCTTCCATAGCTTCTAGCTAGCATTTTGCTACTTTTACCTAACCTGCTGACACTTTTAGCTTCAAGMTAGCCTTTAGCTACTTTTAGCTAACCCCTGGCTATTTTAATCTTCTAACTATCCTTTTATTACTTTTAATTTCTTACAAGCCTTCTGATACTAATCTTTTTCTCACATTTTAGTCAGAGTATTCCAGCTTAAGTTAGACTTTTCTTCCATAGCTTTTAGCTAACCTTTTGCTACTTTTA